AAAAAGCGACAACCGAGGCGACCAGATAAATCTATTTTAATCGGCGAAAAGCAGCTTTCGAATTTTCGATCAAATAGAATTTCTAGTCGCCGACTGCGGCCAAAAATTTAACATTTGGAAATATAAAAATCCGTTTGGCTCAAAGCAGAGGTATTGCGCTCTTTAATTAGATTTCATGTTGGTACAAAAACAAAAATCGAAGGCAGTCGTAATTAAAATCGAAGTTATCGGGAAGAGGTTAGATGCTCAGTTGTTTGTTCGAATCGGGATCGAGGAGACTGCCAAACATTCTTACGATTCCATATGAATCTAATGATAGTTCGGTCACATTACTCTGGTAGAATGGTCATTTTATAATGCAAAAAATGTAATGAGGAAGTGATGTTGGTTACAATGCATCTAATTTGAATTGCTCCTCTTGATTTAAATTTAAAATCCTATTATTATTATTATTATTATTATTATTTTATCAGTAGATAATTGTCCCCACTTGCTTTCAGTAGGTATCAAATGAGATTTGGGTAATTTGATGATTTTGTCAAAAATTTGTAATCATTATCGTTGATTGATATATTACGCTTAAGCGTTTTTTTAGTCCCTATTGGCAGTCGAGTGGGCTACGGCTAGGTACGTATAGTTTGTGTGGAAAAACCAAGACAGTCGAGTGGGCTAAGTACGTAGTTTGTGGGAAAAATCTCCAGTTCTCTGAACTTTCATATAGCGTCGTATACACATCTTTGGTGCCCAATGATAGTTTCAATATAAAAATATGCCCATGATATGGTGCCATGGCCTCTACTTCCATCTTACATGAGCAATGATAAAATATCATCTGCTTTTATAGCGTCGTATAAATTATCTGACCTCTATACTAATCTAATACCCAATGAAAACTATATCTATACTAATCTGATACCTTTCAAAAACTAAGTACCTCACTTGTTTTAAAGACTATCAGTTATCCACGAACACTTTTATTAGTACACTCGAGATCATAAATATGAAAATATCAACTAATAACAATGTAAAATGGTTGAAAATTGTTCGTTAGTGATATTTTATTTAAAGTTACATGGTACTCCTGTCAGTCCTGTCCTGTCAGATTGATGATTGACAGTTGAAACATTGACACATCAGCTTTCACGTTTGAGTCGTTGATGTTGCCGTGTGTAGCCGTGGTAACTTCATTAAAAAACCCGCGTTTGTTAAACTTAGATTTGAACACGCTGAAGCGTTATTTGAATAAGAATAGTAGGGTACCTACCAATCAAAAAAATATATTTTACTCATGAATGCATATATTGGAAAGCGGCATGCAAAGGTTCAGTATGAAATGGACGAACATCAATTCGACACTTATTCTGTCATTATGCATTTTAATATTTAGTAATTTCATTTGAATTTTTTATTGATTACGTATGAGGATGAGTGCCTAAAATCATTGGCATTCCAAAAAGGAAATTATTATTGTTTTTATAATAGTGATTGCAAAGTTCTTATATTGGTATATCGACGACGCCAAGGAAGCATACACTTTTATCACATATTTTTACCGTGAGAGTATTGGCAGTTTTGTTTCCTTGAATGAGGTAGCAAACGCCTACTTTCGATTCAGTGAGTAGATAAATATGTTTATTGATCTATTGATTCAAGTTAATGACGTTTATGATCGTTCTAGAAATTGTGTAAGTATTTCAATTGTGAAGAATGGACGATATAAGTGAGCGGGTTTATGAAATTTTATGAATAATAAAAAGACGACTAAATTGGTTAAATTGACGTTCAATTGTCGTGAGAGTACGGGCTGGCTATGATTTTATTGGATTCAATTTGTAGTGATTATCTTCCATCATGTATATTCAACAACATGCATAAAAAAGGGAGACAGAACTACTTGTGTACGTAGCGTACTTAAATCATGGCGGTTAGATTTAATATTTCCTTTTTTAGACAACTGCAGGCGATGTTTATACATCAAAATCAATTTAGAACAGTTGAAATTACTACACTACAATGTTAATAGGAGTTTACACTCTGTCAACGTTACTTTAAACACTTCCTTTTGACTTTGTGCTGGGGTTTCTGATTCCATTATTTTTTGACGTCATGCGACGTACAAATCAAAATTGGAAAATTGTCACACATATTCAGGAGCATCATACCTATCTTGTACCCATCAAACATTCATACATAGGTCATTACTTTTGAATAAGTTTCACAACTGTGATCTATCATTGGCAAACAATTGACATTATTCGATGGTAATTCACTAAAGTGACCAGCTGGCGAATTAGTACTTCCATTTATTGCATATTCATTGTTGGCCCAGTGATGACGCACTAAATGTATTTTCAGTGCATTCCTGATGAGAATCACGAAAATTTAGAGGTTGTGTTGAGAAATAGTATATTGTTTGACGAGCACGGAATGATAGTGATGTCTCCACGATCAAGTTTTGTAACATCCTGTATTATTCATCCAAATGTTCTTTATCATCGAATCAATCATATTCTAAGATTTATATAACTGTTTATACAAAAAACACTTCTGGGTGCATATCTTTTTTAACAATCAGTCTGAAACGAGAAGACGAGAATACAGATTTATTTTCACATATTAATGTGAGTGATGTAACCCGCGGGCGTTATATTCCATAATGACGAGCGGTCCAGATGTTTTTTTAAGCGCATAAAGGGTCAAAAAACCAAACACGGAACACTATTTTCAGGCGATTCTCAGCCGTAATGTGAAAGAAATTATGACTGATGAGAGGGTTTGAAGTGGAACAGTCTATTTGTACAAGTGTGTGTGCCTGTATGCCTCATGATTTAAAGTAGGTCTTTCACAAATTAAAATCCTCGAATTTCATTCAATAACACGTAGACATGCACAGTTCGAGTATCGTTGACCCCTGAACGGAGGAAAAAATGGAATTATTATAAATGAATAGGTATACCGGGTGGCCACGAAATTTAAACATTTTTCACCACGCTTTCATTAGCTTGGTATGTATGTTTGTATGTTTGCATCTAAAGAAATCTTCGAACGTGATTTTAGCTCACTTCAAAACGTCGTATTCAATTGAAACTTCGCACAAGGACCGATGAAAATAGGATAATTCAATAGTTTTGATTCATTATCGTGATCAGGATCTTTAGGAGCAATTTTAACATACAGAGATAGCAGTGTCTTGCACCATACATGTATGGCATGATAAAAGTTACATACAAATACGGTAGTGTCTTGCATCAAGTACTTGTATCTTGTATGAGATAAAATCTCCGGAGAGGGAGCCTGATGATAGCGCAAATTATCCACTTTCACTGAGGGACGATAGTTACAAAAAATAAAAAAAAGTCAAAAAACACGCTTTTATAAATAGCCAAACTAGAAAAGTAGTAGGAAATAAGATAATAAAAGTGTGTTGTTATATACACAACATATAGAAAATATTAGCATCACCGTAAGCAGTATTTTCTTAATTGTGTATTTGTCAACACACTTTAATTATTTCATTTTCTATATATACTTATTTTCAGTTTTTCAAACTCCTACTTATTATTTACACTGTGTCCATGAGGTGTTTCTCTCTCCCTAGTCCCTAGTTAACTTTTTGACCATCTGCATTTTTTTTCAAATTTTTTCTGCTTCAATAATGATAGTCCAAGTGTAACCAAAATTATTCATCTCTCAAAATAGCGGTAAAGGACAAAAATAATTATCAGTCGTTCGAAAGTTAACAAGGGGTGATTCTTTTATGGACACAGATATGAATACTTATGCATATTTTGCATTTTTTATTCCTTTTTTTTTATTGAGTCACTTCCAGTTCTGTGGAAAGTGACCACAACGTTTGATTTTCAACACTCAGTATGTATTTATATATTCTAGAGATCAGAACATGCACTTCAGAATTATTCTTTGGTGAAAATTTCAAAAGTGTCAAATTCAATTGATTGAATCGTTTTTAGGTTGTTCACACTAGTACTGTGCGATATTGAAAATTGGATATCGATATCGATGTTTGCTTTGATATCGATATTGAGCGATGTATGTCGATATATCGATACATATCGATATCGATCGATACATCTAATATATTCATATAACATATCGATACATGTAATATATGAGTTCTGTGGTGGTCTAACGAAGTAACGAAACTGCATTGTTTGATGTGCTCAACATATAGAACATTTAATTCTTATATCAAAATCAAGGTTTGAACTGTCAGGACCGGACCAGAACCTTGTTTGAAAAATGTCGGAAATGTATATTGCAAGAAAACGATCGACAGTAGTGCTGTGTGATATTGAATGGATATTAATATCGATATATGCTTTGGTATCGATATGTACCGAAATATCGATATGTATCGATAAATATCGATATTTTTTTTCATGATATTGTTATTCGATATATATTTCGATAAATATCGATATATCGATATTTTTGCCCAGCCCTAGTTCAGACTGCCCAGTCCTAAAATATTTTCGTTTCAGATCCTTTTTATATAAGAAAAATTCAAATAGTACCTATACTATTTCATGACACAACGAATAGGAAGCTTATATTTCTCAAATTTATTTTGAAGTTACATTTTTGAACATTCGATTAAAATATTGAGCATAGTGATGAGAAGCAAATAGATTAAATGAAAATAATCGAATATAAAAAATGAGACTTTCCCAGAGTGTCATTCCAAAATTCAACTTACTGTAGGTATTATGTGAAATGATGTCCCTATAATACAGTACCTACAGATATAACTCAAAAATATCGAGAATAAATAAAATTGGAGCCAACAAATACAAAATATCATGTACCTATTATAATCAGGTCTCGTGGTCATTTTCTATACAGGGTGATACAAACATGTACATTTTCGATGTCAAAATAACAAAAATTCTCATGAACACGTACCAGGAAACACTGTTCGTTTGACTTTATCTTATGTTATAAATATTTAACTTGAACTATTATTTTTCTCATTGTTTCAGCAATGATGGCTCAATCCTTAGCACCTACTACTCCTAGAGAACCAATTTCCTCCTCAAATATGATGATGAATAAAACCACTACTCAAGTCGACTATTCAAAATATGTCAAGAAATATTCATCGTCATTAGAATGTGGTAATACCTATTGCAAGGATCTCAGTTATAGGTGAGTAATTTATATTCATATACGGGGTGAGCCTATAGTTCCGTTACACAATTTCTAGTCTCATAGAAATACATTGATTTCAAAATTGGCGGCAATTTTTTTCACATTCGACAATGAGAAATTTCTAATTGTTGAAAATATGGCCAATAATGGACAAAATGATCATGGAACGTTTTCTTCCAGAGAGCACTTCCATTGCCTAGACTGCAACTCCCGCGTATTCATCAAGAAGGAGGAGATGATCAGGCACTTCAAGTGGCACAAAAAACGCGACGAATCGCTACAGCACGGCTTCATGCGCTACAGCCCTCTAGACGACTGCGGCGACCGGTTCGCCAATTGCACGCACAATAAGAAGCAGACGCACTACCACTGCATCAAAGAGGGCTGCGACAAGGTCTACATTTCCACGTCGGACGTCCAGATGCACGCCAACTATCACAGGTATGATGCGTCTCTTATAAGTAGTACAACTACGGTCGCCTGACGCCCTAGTTCTCAATTTCACCACCAAGTGGCGCTGCAGTGGTGTCATTATGGTTGCGCACATGACAGAGGGCATATTATAGATGCCGCGAGTGACAGATGAATTATATCATCAGATTACATATATGACTAGTGACCTTTGACTTATAAAAGCATCAACCATCAAAGCTTTGATTTCTGATTCTGCATATTGGCTATTTTTATTTTGAGTAATTGTTAATGGTTCTACTAAAGAAATTATCAGTTTAGTTGAAATATATACATCACATTACAATCATGATGAAAGGAATATGGAAGGAATTGTTTAATGCAGACTTCGTAAAATGTGAGTGTTGCCTATCCTTCCCACTTTTTTTACAGTACTAATGAGGGCTAAGAGCTTTAAACAGTTCCCTCATTATTCCTTTCATCATAATTGTACTCCTGGACTTGGATGTCATGCAGGTAGCTATACCTGCCTCCGTGATAACGTTAGTTGTTACTCTGAGATGTGCGGCTGGCATTTGTTTGTTGACCCCGTTGTTTTATTGTTTCGTTCTACACCAAGTTTTGCCTATCCTTCGCCATTTTTTCACAGTACTGATGGGGGCCGAAAGCCCGAAACACGTGTCTGCGGTTAACTCTTTATGAGGGTTATGTCCAATATTTTCTTCCGAGTTGCAAAAAAACTGCGTGAGGCTTCCGATTTGTGTCACGTGACCATTTTTAATGATTTTGCCTAATGCCACATTGCACAGGTATGCACCTTATAATGGCAGCCAACTGATGCGAAATTGCCACTCCTAACGGTGGTTGGTGTTGTCGTGAATTGAGACTCATCCTTAAAAATAACTTTATTTCATTCATAGGAAGGACTCTGCGATTATCCAGGAAGGGTTCCAAAGGTACAGGGCAACCGAGGAATGTGGGGCAAGCTATTGTGCATTCTTTGGACAGAGGACGACGCATTTTCACTGCAGAAGATCAGGATGTAGATTCACTTTCAAAAATAAAAGCGACATGGGTGAGTTTCATCAATACAGATCAGTTTCAATTTAAATATTTTCAGCAAATCATTGAGCTGCCTTTTTCTCATTATCATTTTGTAATCAAACTATTCTTTAGATCCTTTCCATGGTTCAACTTCCTTGTTTTCATTAATTTGCTAGCGCGGAACATTCAGATATTTAATTTATTGTAGTATCATATTTATATTGACTTCTTATTATAATTAATTTTCCAGAGAAGCACAAGTCATACCACATCAAGGACGAGCAACTCTCGAGGGACGGTTTCAAAAAATTCATGAAAAACGAAATATGCCCCTTCGACAACTGCCGCTTCTCCAAAGTCTGCAACCACATTCACTGCATCCGACCCCAATGCAGCTACGTCCTACATAGCTCCGGCCAACTGTTCTCGCACAAGCGCAAACACGAGCGCAAAGACTCCGAACTGGCCTACCGAAAGTACAAACTAGCTCAAAGCATGATGAAAACCCTATCCGACGGGTCCGCACCTCCCCCCATGTCCTATTCCCGGGACTACGAAGCCCAAATCGACAGCCTCAACCTCGCCATGTACAACCAGTCCTCAGGCGGAATGTCCAACACCGAAAGCTTGAGCGAGCGTAACTCCCCGCTGAGTTACGAGGAATCAGAATCGGCCTCAGCCATGGACCTCAGCGCCAACGACTCCAACTTCGCGCAGGACGACGTCCTCACCTACAACAGCGAGGACTACTGGAGGAAGTGCTGCCAATTTGTGGCCGAGAACCGCTGCCCCAAGGAAGCCTGCGAGCTCAACCATTCCGACCACTACCACTGCTTCCTCGATAACTGTGAGATGGCGTTCGGGAGTAAAGATGGCGCCAGGGAGCACGCCAGGAACCACGATCAGCAGGACATAATCACCGACAACTACTTCGGGGGCTGCGATGACGGCTGCATTTACCAGGAGAAGGAGAAGCACTACCATTGCAGCTGGGAGGGGTGCCGGGAAGTGATTCTGCCTGCGGATAAGCCTTTTAGGCGGCTGGAGCACTACAAGATGCACGAGTATTCGAGGAAGCTGAGCCTCACGAAAGATCCGCTGACCATGACGCATCTGTCGAGCTCGATCGACGGGATGTTTTGCAGGAAAAGGGGGAGGCCGCCGAAGAATCGGGTCATCGAAGTGTGGAATGATTATGTGAGTTGATTTGCTATTGAATCAATAAGGTATACGTGTCACGTATACCTTATTGATTCAATATATAAAATAAAAATATGAATACTTTTTCAATTAACGTGTACGTTTAAAGAATTTTCCTATCAGAGAACCTGAAAGAAAAATTCACTAGCTTGTCAATTTGTATTGAAAAAGGTTTGGAGAAGAGAATTTAAGGTATATAGAAAAAATTATCAAATTTTTACTTATCTTTGGACGTTTCGGGAACGAATCTGCTCCCGTTTTCAACATAGGATAAATGGATTTTTTGTATGGCAAATTCGTATTTGTCTTGACGCTTCTCAGTTCTCAGTGACAATTGGTGACGTTGGTAATCAAAAGAGTTACATGATGTTTTCATTAATTAATCTTGAATTCATCATTTTCAGATTTCAGTAGTGAATACCATGTATATCACCTATACCAACTGAACAGGGAGCAATGCGATTGTCTCCGTTCAGAAGAATGCAAGCAGATTCCTTGATTTTTCTCTCTTCTTTAACAATGATTTCAATATTATGCCACTCTGCCATATGTTGTCAATCTTCGGTGAGGATAGGTTCAGCTAGTTTTATTTTTGTCAATTCATAATGCTTTTGATTTTCTTCAACATATACCTATGCAATAACAAATCACTTTTTCTGTCACTAGAATTTGTTTAATTTATTGAAGGGGCGTCCAAGAATTCAACCAAACTATAGTTATATGATATGAAGGAATATGTCATATTATATCATATATTTTAAAGAGTTGGATCAATATCATTCCTCGATATATTTTTTCAGTGTCCTACGGGTACCCAAAACTTGATGGATAGTCCTCAGGCCCTCTTCACTAGCTTCAAGCTGCCTAAACCCTCTATGACACAATCTAATACAAAGGATTTCGAGGAAAAAGACTCGAATGATGATAGATCTAGTACGCACAGTTCCACAGTAAGTATATCAATTAATACTGTACACGTTTTAGGTTAGGTTGAGTTGGAGTTGAGATCACAACATATTATTTAATTCGGATTTCACATACAGTGTGACCCATTTCTAATGGAACCACCCCTGTATCTTACGTAATCGTTGGGTAAGGATCCTGAAATTTGCTGGAGCGAGAGATATACCAAAAATGCACTCTATGACCAAGTGGGGTCATCTTCAGTGATATACACTGCTCGCCAACAGCCATGAAATTACCCCAATTTCCGGAAAATGATATTAGGAGTCAAAATAGGTCGAAAATCACTTCAGATTTGGAATCAGGACGCCCAATTTACTAACTATTCAAATTTCTTCTGGAAAATTTTCAGTTCGTAAAAATGAAATTTTGTCGCATTTTTTATGGAAGCACTCCCGTATCTCACGTAATTGGACTTTCTCTTCCTCCGGCAAATTTCAGAACCCTACCTCAATAATTACGTGAGATACGGGGGTGCTTCCATAAAAAATGCGACAAAATTTCATTTTTCCGAACTGGAAATTTTCCAGGAAAAATTTGTATAATTAGTAAATTGGGCGTCCTGATTCCAAATCTGAAGTGATTTTTGACCTATTTTGACTCCTAATATCATTTTCCGGAAATTGGGGTAGTTTCATGGCTGTTGGCGAGCAGTGTATATCACTGAAGATGACCCCACTTGGTAATAGAGTGCAGTTTTGGTATATCTCTTGCTCCAGCAAATTTCAGGATCCTAACCCAACGATTACGTAAGATACAGGGGTGGTTCCATTAGAAGTGGGTCACACTGTAGATAGATTTCAGAGTTCTGTACATAGTGTCACAGATATACGTACTAAAATATTTCAGTGATGATATAATGTACAAATTTTAAAAAAGTTTGAAACTTTATTTTCTCATACGTCAACATCAATCGGTAAATGACGAGTTGACTTCCTAGTATTGAGACATTATTTCAAAATAATTGTTCTCCAATAAAAGTCAAGTATTTGTACCTATATTGGGTATACCTGACCCATGTAATTTCCCAAATTTTTAGCGATGAAAATGACTTGCACACAAAAATAAGAGAAGTTGTAGTGTACGAGAATCCGCGTTCGTTCGTAAAATCTTCAAACAAAAAAGTTGTATTTTGAGGCAGGTGATCTTTAGTGAGGGTAGCTTCGGAATCACCAGAGAATAATTGATATATTTGATAAATATATTTAATATAGATAATAGATCGGGATTTCTATAAATAATGTGTTTATGAGCCTAATTATTGAATCAGCTCTCACGTGTTATAACATAACTATACGTCATTGTGTATTTTGATAATTCAAATCACACCGACACTGGACCAAATGTCTACGTACCTGTGAAGTGACAGGTTAGCATATTCGTATACTACCTTTTACCATATTTATTCACAAAATAGACTTCTTCAGATTTATAATATTCAATGAGTTACTGAAACACCGGAAACTATAATCATACAAATGCCGGAAAACCATTGATAACAACAGAAAAATAATTTCCCACAACGATTATTGCTCGTCCACTACGAAACTCTGCAAGTGCCACGTTCATCTTGAAATAATTCCTATTCTTCATTCTGATAATTATACCGGGTGTAACAGGATTATGGTACACCAAACCATTTTGACGAACTTGATTTGCTGATGAATCAAGAAATCTGGTCAGGATTAAATTTGTATAGCATTACATCTGTCGCTAAATCAGAATCAATATCGAGGTTTGGAATGTCACATGTATGTGATATCATTGGAATCAGAAAATAATGCAAAATTCGAAAATGCAATGGTATACAGGATGTTCCATTTGAAAATCAAAATTCATTAGTCAATAGAACATATTTATGTCAAAACATGACGTTTATCAACGATGGGGCATTCCAAATTTCAATCACTTATCATGAATACTAACTGAGAAGAAGCAGATGTACCATGATCCTGCTACACCCAGGGTCGGATAATTCTCGGGGCCCCTCTTCCCTTTTTTACCTTTTTTTAATTTTTGAAACATATTTTTTCTATAACAAAAGTCGAGTCGATCAGATCGACTCTTTTGGTATCCTGTTACTTCAATATCTCGTGTGATATTGTAACAACATGGTTGCCTTGAATTGATCATTGAGCATCACCTCACATGCCTGAACAAAACAGCGCGTTACAAAACAGCGCTGTAACAGAAATAGCGCTTCTTTCCGATGTAATTTCATATGTTCGAATGTTTTCACATTTCAAACATATCTCATTAGCCCTTATACCTATCTATTAGTGATTGATTATCCAACTTATTTGATTATCCAACTTATCAAGCGAGTCACTCGTTGCGTCGTTGCTGTGAAAAAGAAATTCTCCAATACTACCATGGATACGTCATTCGATGTTTCAATTTGACAACAATAGCACCTATTAATAATAATAATAATATATAATATAATAATAATAATAATAATAATATGTTTATTACATTAAACATGTATACTCACAGAAGCAAGTGATTGCTTGTGCGTGAGAGTTTACAACTACAAATACATAAACATTATCTAAACAAATATATAAATAATGACAAAATAGGGATTTAATGTCCATTTCATGATATATTCGACACAATTGGGATATATTTGACATAATCGGGATATTCGACACAATCAGGATATATTTGACATAATCAGGATATGTTTGACACAATCGGGGTCTGCTTTTTTTTTTTTTTTTTTTTTTTTTTTTTTTTTTTTTTTTTTTTTTTTCTTTTTTTTTTTATTAATTAATTATTTTACTTTTTCTCAAATCATTATATTGTTAACAAAGTAACTGAAGAATGCTCTTTCCGTGTTTAAAATCCACATTTTAACCATATATTTGAAAGAGTTTTTATTAATTACAGATTTCAGTTGTGGAGGGAGGAGATTATATAATTTAGGGCCCAAATACTGTGAACTTCTTTGTCCAATATTCTTATCGCACTTGGGTATTTTAACAGTAGTGTTTTTATTTCGAGTGGCATAGTTGTGGTCTGTGGGTTCCAATACAATTTTAGATGTGTGGATGTTAATTATTAACTTCTGACAGTATAATTGTCTTAAATCTAGGATTTGACTACTGAGAAAGAGTTCATTACTGGAAAAAGTGAGTTTTTTTTTGTAAATAATTCTCAAAACCCATTTTTGTACAACATTCAGTCTTTCTAGATGACGGTCAAGAACTCCTCCCCAACCCATAATACCATAAGACAAGTGAGACTGGATGAGTGCATAGTATACTGTTTTTAGGTGATGAATATCTAAAAATTGCGACAGATATCTAAATCTACCAATGAGGCCTCTAATTTTTTTCGTTATGAATGCAACGTGTAAATCCCAACGTAAATGTTTGTCTATTATGACACCCAGATACTTAACAGACTCAGCTTCAGGTATTGTCGTAACTTCATCGATATTTCCTAGTTGTGGCAGATAATTAAGATAGGACGTTTTATAAATTGATTATAATCATCTGAAAAAAGAATAGAATCGTGGTCATGATTGATCAGGAAACAGAAATGAGACGCGACGCGGTTATATAAGGATTCGGGAATATTATTGAAGGAGTATACACATTTTCAAAAACAAACTCGTTCAAAAAAACAATTTTTTTTTCGTGCACGGGGCCCCTTGTCGATAATAATAGCTATTTATATATCAAGGGAGCAAAGGTATTCATTTTCTCCCGCATGTGAGTTTTGTTGCCCGACGCGTAGCGGAGGGCGTTAAACACACATGGGAGGAAATGAACCTTTGCTCTCAAGATATATATATATGATTTTACCCACGAACGGATATATTTGAGAGCGTCGTTCTTAAAATTGTGCTTCACGCGGTCAATCTCTCGAGATTCGATCCAAATCAATGTGTTACATGATCTAAGGTTACAAACAGTATTCGAATCTAATTTGACATTGACGAGATCATTGGAAAATGAAATTATTTGTTTTATATGGTGGTTATGGAGACACTGATTAGTTACTTGGATAGCACAGATCTTATAAGTATATCTTTACCAAGGAAGCAAGCTGAAGCCAATTTACTTTATATCCCAGTAATAGTAGTAATATTCTTTTCCTCCCGTGGGAGTAAATTGACAGCTTTGTTTCCTTAAATGAGGAAGCAAACGCCTTCTTCGATGCAGTGATTAGATAAACAAAATACATCTCTTTTATTCACAACCATATATGTAATATTGTCATTACTAACGTCATTGAAGGTTGGGAAGTGTCACATTACACACCTCTACTTCCCGCCCTCACTTCCCGCCCTCACTTCCCGCCCTCACTTCCCGCCCCTCACTTCCCGCCCTCACTTATGTAATATTTTAGGTATATGTTCAGGACGAAACTGAGATTTATTAATTTTTTTCGAAATATGTTAGTTGTAAATAAAATAGTATACAAACATCGGTAGGAAGTTTCATTCCTGTCTCGAAATTATAGCTAACCTCGACGCTTTGCGTCTCGGTTAACTAACTAGTCTCACGACAGGAATAAATCACTTCTCACCTCGGTGTGAACTATTCTATTTCGAACTGCATAGTAACTCTGAGGAATAAACTTTGATTCCGTGACCATTTTTGCAGCCACAAGATTACAGCGAACAAGGCTTCGACACGTACGCCGAAAACTCCAAGTGCCCGGACAACCTGTGCCCTTACCTAGGTTCCACGCACTTCCACTGCGTCCAGAACCGCTGCCTCTACATAACCGACAAGGAGGACGCTCTCACGGTCCACGCCAAAGACTTCCACGACAATGTCGACATCCTCGACGGGTTCGAGTTCTACGACAGGAACATCGACTGTCGGCTGCCGAAGTGTGGGAGCAACAGGATCAACAGGCAAGGCTCTCAGACTAAATAACAATAACAACTACGAAATAGCACTAGAGTCTAGCCATAGCACTATAGCGATGTAATATTGCGCCTCGCTCGCTGCTCGTTGGGAGCGACAAACTGAAAATCTTCGGCCGATCCTGAGAAGAAACATAATTGAAATCACTATCACATCACTATCGGCCTAACCAGTAAATGCCTCCATAGTATTTTTTCGACTAACTACTTCGAAAAAAAAATTGAAAAAAGATTTGCTGGAGAATAGGGATCGAACCCCAGTCTTTTCGCTCGGAGGAAGTATTAAAGTTATTTATCTCAATTTTTGATTTTTGTAGTACAACACATATTTATGATCACATTTTATAAATTGTTTTATCTGATGGCATGTCATAAAAACAACGTTATGTCATTCAAATTTGATGACATAAAGAAGCTAATTATGGTTCTTAGTCCCATAATGAATTTATTATGGGACTAAGCACCATAATGAAATTCTATATGAAAAACATGTAAAAGCATTTACTACAATTTGCAGTATTAATTCCAATAGATTCTAGAGTTTTTACAAGTAATTGATGATTGTTGGTAAACTTGTAATCCTGTTTGGTTTTTGGCACCAAAAATGCTTCTGATATTTTTTTCTTTTGCTCTTTCGAATTTTTGATGTAACCTTCAGCAACAGTATTGCTATTCTATCCGCCATGGCGTTTCACGGTACACAGATCAGCTCCAAGAATCAGTCAAAAATGAAGCAGACGATCGCCGAAAACAATGTCCGGTATATTCTTCAGGATGAGGTGAATTCAAAAAAGTGGCAATAACTTTTGGCATTCTACCAAATGTATCTATTCCAACGGGTTGTTATGTGCATTTCTTATTTTTATAAGTCATGACAAAAAAACGTAGATGGTTTGTGTTGCAAGGTCGTATTTCCACATACTGTCTGACAAGTTCTACCATATTCAATCCTGGGGTATTCTCCGAAGTTACAAAAAAATTCCGCATTACATATACTTACTCCTTTAAAAATAGTTGTTCATTGTGACATGTCAAAAATACAATTTTTAATTTTTCGATAACCTATTAATATAAATGCCATCAGATTTTTGTATGTAATACGAATCATAAACAATCATTACGGCACACGTCGTGTTATCGAGATGACATTCACGACTTGTACCATAATGATCATCTTTATGATCCTTGTTACATAAATAACTATTATGTACATGGAGTTCCTCCGCGTGCGCAGAGGTGGCTGGTGTTGGCCAAGAATTTGTTCATATATGTGGAGTTTTATGATTTCGGGAGGATGTAATTCAATGTTCGATGTGGCATTTCCCAGGAAAGTAGTCGTTTTTCTCCCGAAATCTGCCATTGTTGTTAATTCTATGAACTTTTTGTGGAAATGACTGAGCTTTCTGTATCTATTCAACATTTCACTCCACTATGAGAATTGTGGCTATTTTGTAGTTGAAATTACGCCAGTCGGACAACCAGCCACTCTCGTATGGGAATTTTGGTTTTGGAGTGTTTTATCCCTTCTTTTCTACTCAGATGGCGTTGCTCTCATATTGTCTATGGAGGACGCTTCTGAGAGGAGATATAATGCCGACTTGATTTTTTTGGCTAGGCTACGCTTAGTCGGCTGGCGAGATTGCCTTGCACTGATGAGAGTCAAAGAGCTCAAAACCGATCTGTAGGTGTCTAGCGTGGCCTAGCTACATCGAAATCAATAGGCATTCAGGAATAAGGAATCACTTGTATCAATAATCGTTTATACGAGTCGATGCATCCGGGAGGATGTTATTCAATGTTCTATGTGGTATTAGCCAGGAAAGTAGCTGTCGTAACATATAGTAATAAGTTCATTTTGTTTAGTTGACAATACAAAAGTTGAAGTAGTTACCTATATCAAGTGTCAACTATAACATAACTCACTTTCGTGGTATTGCTCGTTTTTCCTGACCCATTACATGTCTTATTAGTGTTGCCATCTAGACAAGACAAGACAAGTGTTTACCTACTCTTGTCTTGTCTTGAAAGTTCAAGACAAGAGTTGTATACGCGTAAGTCTTGATTAAATAAGCTAAGTGCGGTCTTGTCTAGATAACGAAAGTCCAGATTATTATTCAAGACTCTAGATAAGACGCTTAGCTTAAATTGCGTAGAAACAGTCAAGTGCATGCAAACTCCCGCTCTCTGGGAACCAATCAAAACAAATCATAGCCGCGCCAGCGAAACGACGTATTTGTAATATAGATGAAAAATGGAAAGTCTTGTCTTGTCTAGATAATCTAGACAAGACATATTGATGATCTTGTCTTGATATTCTAGACAAGACAAGACAAGAGTCTAGAATGTATAAGTCTAGACGGCAACACTATGTCTTATTGAGTCTGATGATGGCCGTTGTGCCGAAACCGGTCACTTTCTAATGTAATTTAATATATAAAGTGTGGTCGACCGAGTTGGAGCTTTCCTTTCATTTATGAATACTGTGGGACCACTTTGAGAATGGATGATTTTCATTGTTTGTACCTTGATCTGTTCAGAGAGTTAATGTCAAACCTTGATCAACAGGCACTTCCACTGCACGAGACCAAACTGCAACTACTCCTTCGTGCAGTATTCCTCCATGGCCATTCACAATCAGAAACATGTGGAGGAGAATGGTGGGGTGCCGATGCCTCAGATAAGAGTGAAGACGGAGGTTCAGCTGACTGAGAACAGGCAGGATACCGGCGACCATTTGTATAAAGCTATCAATCTGAGTCAAGGGATCGATAGTAAAGTGTCAGGTGATTTTTTTTTATTATCGATTTTATCTAGTCATCCAGTTAGGTAAATGCATAGACATATAAAAAGAGGGGAAACGAACTTGTTTACATTTTGTCCCGATCCAGTATCATTTCAGCAGAAACGTTGTCATTTTAGTACAATTGTCTTGCCCCCCGCTTAACCTACACGTGACTGGTAAAGAAAAGTGTGAACATTGACAGTTTACAGCATTGCCATTTTTTGAAGCAATCTCCTTCAACTTATTTGAAACTTCGGAAGTATATGTATATGATATATATAGTATTAATAGTATTTTATAAATGAATAAATCTTATGTCTTCCCTCCTTTTATATGTCTATGGGTAAATGCATCTGTCGAATAAATTGAATGAAATAATCTACATCTTTCCCATCTTATAGTTGATGAGTAAAATATATGACCTTATGAGAAGACGCTATTGATGAACGTCTATATTTTCCTGACCAAATCAATGACTTAAGCAAACAGTTCCAAGGATTTAATTTTGATTATTATTTGCTTAACTTTTGGTTGAAATGAATGGCGTTGGTCTATAGATTTAGATGTTAAGGTCATTTGCACTTTATTGACCGTGGTCATAGTTGACCACGGTTTCAACCGAAAAATAAAAGTATTTGAATGTGTATTTCAAATAGGTACCTTGTTGACAAAAGAAGTTATCGAAATCGATGGAAAAAATTGAGGTTTCACAGGTATTTATGTTTGACACACTGTATTATTATATTTCATACAAATGCAAATGCATTCTACTAACGCCTTCTTAAAAAATTCGTTAACATCAACAGTATTGAGTGAGTGATGAAAATATCCAATATATTGTGAGATATCACTCAGGAAAAGCATTTTCTTATGTATAAACTTGAAAAGAAATAGTATATATAATATCATTTCGGGAATAGTCTAGTTTGGTTTTCTACTGGAGAGTGTAGGTTATTTTGTTCTGATATCATAGCATAAGTAGTTCACATTTTAGTAAAGTATTTATTACTCATACTCTGTATATATAGCGTCATTCTCTGTCTCTTCTAGTGGTGAAGGCATCAGGAACTTTCTATCCTTTATCTACATTGCCAGAACACAATCAAAAATCACCAGAATATAAAACAAATTCAGGTACGAAAGAGTACTAACAATGAGAGAAAAAAGCTTCACTAACATTATTCCAAAATATCATCTTCTGCTATTCATTTCTATGCACCAACACCAATGCTACAGTTGTTCATCGAATTTTTGCACACTAGGTATAAACAGTAAAATTGGCATGGATATTCGGATATTTGATAAATCTATGTGCGCTTTTTTTCTCAGCTCCAGTTCCCAGTAGAATTCACCATCGTATTCTTTTCAAGGTCATGTGCATAAGTAGAAATTTCTAAAAATATCAGCAGCTGTGGATGTTTCCTCTTTTTGATAGCTGAAATTAATAGAATTTCATATCAGAATGAGTGGTCACTACTCAGAATTGTATTCAACTAAAAACTCGAGTTTTTGAAGTCTTTAAAACACTGCATATCGAAAAATCTAAGTAAAACCTAGTTTAAACCAACTTACATTCATAAAGATTATTCTTCCAAAATTCTATAAAATAGATTATTTTGCCGGTTATTCTGAATACAAATTTTCATCATACATGATGGTGATTCAGGTTTCAAGATACAAACTGAAATGGGTGATAGATCTCATCATTGTGATTAAAATAATTCGTATTAACATGAGTTCGATCTCGATCAGGAGCGGAGAGTCAAATTTTGATTATTTTTTTCTATTAATTGACATATCTCGCTCACTTTTGAAGATATCAATTTGAAATTTAGTGTATTTGATTCTTTCTAGAAAATCATCATTTCAAGCATTTCGAAGGTTTTTTTATTTATTTACAGGGTGATACGTTTCTGGGGGTAGAGGCTTCTTTATCCCCCCCAACTTTTTTGTAGTACGCCTCTGACAATGTCAGATACCAAATAGGATGGATCGTTCAATTGGAGGCTTTTTTTGCCTTCCAATTTTTTCCGAGAAATGAATCAAGAATAAAATTCAAAGGAGAAAAAAAAAGATATTAACATGTTATCGAACGAATGTGCTTATTTATCTCGATAACAAATGTTTCTAGAGTAGGATTGAGAAGCAAAAAAAAACTTCAAATTGAACGATCCACCCAAAAAGTATAGGGAGATAAAGAAGCCTCTACCCCCAAAAAAGTATCACCCTGTAGATTTTGAAAATATTCGAAATGCTTCAAATAATTATCTTCTAGAAAGTATTGACCACCTCCAATTTGAAATTGATATCTCTAGAAGTGAGACAATAATTAAATTTTGACCCCTGGTAGCTCCGCTACTGACTGAGATAGGACCCATGTTGATATAAACTGAATCACCCTGTGTATCGACAAAATATATCACTCTTCTTGAATATACAGTTTCTAGAAATAATTATATTGAAAGAACAAGAATTCAACTCTGTAAGATCGAAAATCGACAAATCAATTGTCCCAGAAGATAAAATTTGAAATTTGAAAATCGAATAAAGAAGGAAGACGAAAATATCATCTAGCATCTAGCAATGTGTCAATACTGTCAATGCCTGCAGTAATCCTTATCATGACTTTTCAAGGATCATATCAGCACATCCTGCAAAAAAGTTTCTTTCAGTACTATCAAAACTGGAACATATCTCAGATCTGAAGGTATAATCTATTTATTTATAGATACTTTCCCTCAAAACCATACTTTCGTGAATTCTACTACCTACATATAAGTCTACTTATTCTTCTCTATTAGTTTTAGAAGCATGTTGCATTATGCATAGTTGTGTTAGCAGCGAATTCCACAATTCTAACAAACTCAACAACTCCAATATCCACGTTACTTTACAGATCCATCTCAATCTCAAGATCCCCATTTACAAACCAGCAACAACATTCTGTACGGGCCCGAACTAACTTGCTCCAGGCCATTCTGCAAACTAAAACGAAAATACCATTACCACTGCAACGCCTGCAACCAAGCCTTCAGCGAACTAGACCGCCTAATATCGCACGTCAGCAAACACAGCAGCGGCGCCCTGAACAGCCAAACCCCAGAAGACAACCACAACCACAACCAGTCCCCTCCGACTTCGCCAGCAGTCAAGCAATCCCCCGAGTCCAAGATCACTGTCGCCTCGCTGCAGAGCCTCCAGAGCCCCATCATCCAGCCCAAGGAGCCCGAGACCTACATGACCCCCACCTTCGACGCCTACAGCCACTTCAACAACTTCAGCAGCCTGCAGTTCGCGCTCATCTCGCAGCAGCAGCAGCAGATGCAGAACGCGTTCCTGCCGCAGGGGCTGTACCAGAACCCGCAGCTGATGTTCCAGCACGCGCAGCTGATGCAGAGCCCGCTGCTGGCGCCGCAGAACCCCTTCCAGGGGGAGAATTTGACCAGTCCGCTGGTGGCCATGACGGCGAATTTGAACAAGCGGCCGGTCAGCCCGCACGACATCTCGCCGGAAGCCAAGAAGGCCAGGTGAGTAACTGATTGTTGTAACGTTGTTGGAGTTTTCGAGCTTTTTTGGCAGATAAATGCTGAAACTTTTAACATTCACATTCATTTTCATTAACATACATTAATTTCCTATTAATAATGATTCACACTCATGGAACACTAGAAGTCCGAATAATATCAAACTGAACAAGACTAAACAGTAAACACCCCTGCGTTTCAACAAAATTGTCCCGCACACGTTTCAACACAACCGTTGTAGAAATAAAGATACATTGACAATAGAAACAGACAAATCTATATGACCACATAATATATTCTAGTTCAACAAACAGTAGGCAATTAGGTACTCATCACACAAACATGTGAAATACAAAACGCAAATAGTCTAACTAAGTCCACACTATCCACTGTCCAAAATATCCTAATAAGCGTTTTCAATAAGCGTCTATATTTGGATTTTGCCGGATACACAATATCCCAAAACGGCTAAAAGAATGTACAGCTAACCTATATGGCTACAAGGATGGATCCTAACTTTTTATAAAACAGCTTCTTATAATGGTAATCAATATTTACGTTTGCTTCGAATTTGGAATTATTCTTGATGAAATCCTTTGTGAATCCTGATGACCCTATTTGACTCCACGAAATTAAAAACAACTGGATACGATGGATCAGTTGGATCACAAATTAACTATCTGAGTAGAAAAAGGCAGATCTACGTTGATTCAGGTCGTTACCACCGATAAAACAAGGCCAGCAGACTCTGACGTAAACAGCTCGTGACGTCGCATACTCAGGCCATCTTCCAAGGCATTCGCGTCGATCGATCGTCAGTTTGTTTTTGTTTAAGAACGGTGGCGTAGGTAAATCGCGTGTGCTCCATGTGTGCTCGAATTCTCTTGTTGTTTATTCATCAAAATAATTGGCGGAGAAATTACTGTTTTGTGAAATATTTCGTGTTGTGATAGGCGAAATAACAATGCCTTACAAGTGTTGTGTTCCCTTTTGTCGGGGGAATTATGTGGGTCGTCCAAAAGTTCATGCTTTTAGTTTCCCGTTGGACAAGGAACTATCGAAAAAGTGGGTACGTGCAATTCACCGCAAGGATTTTTACGACTCCATCTAAGTACAGTAAAGTATGTGAATTACATTTTGCTAAAGATGATATTATTACTTCATCTACTGCAACCGATTCAAAAACTGGCAAAACTGTAACAATAGATTTGAAAATTCCTAGGCTCAAACGAGATGTTATTCCCACTCAATTTCCCAACTGTCCATCTTATTTATCGAAAGATGTAAAATTACGCACAAGTCGTGATGAAAAACTTGAGATACTAGAGACTAAAAATTTGGCACAAGCACTTACCAAAAGTAAAACTGAATTTGAAAAGTACCAAAATCATTTTGCTACACAGGATTTCGAGAATTTCTAGTTGTATTAGAGTCTTTTCAGTTGCCCGAAAACTCCGAAAAGTGGTTCAAAATTATCGATTTGCAAAAAGTCACATTATTCAGATTGTCTTATTCTCCAGGGCCCGTAATTACATATTCGGTTGTGATTGATTTTGTTTTGAATGTGGTAATGTGGAATCATTTTTGTATGACCTAGCGATACAAACATCTCTAAAAGCCAATCTGAAAACACCTTTTATCTCTAATGATATCAATCAAATCAAGGAATTATTAATTGAAATAGATAAAAACGAGATACATAATTCGGGAAAATGTCTTGATAATCAGAAAAAGAGGGTTTTGAAACATTTCGAATGCATTGGACTCTTTGGTTTGTGACTCAATACTGCTCAATACATTCTCAAATTTCTTTCTGAAAACGGTCATTTGCCTCGTGGCAATGAATGCAGAATTCATTCCAATGATCAAATTGCAACTATTATATTAACATGTACTACAAACACTCTACTTAAAAATGACTGTTTCAAGTCTAACGACCAATTGGGTAAAAAATCCAACATCAGGAAATTGAAAACACTCACTGGCTAATTTTTTAGGTAATAGGAATTCTCCAAGATAAATATAGGTAATTAGGTATAATAAACGGCATGTCTATCAAACTAAAATACATTTTCCCCAATTTTCTTTCGATCAATCTCATGATAAGTTTATGTTCTGCGGGCCCTGTATAAGGAGGTGTGAAGTTTACCTCTAATGAGATTGAATCACTACAATTTTTGCCAATATATTTAATTCGAATGGGTTGCTGTAGGTGGGTATTTGTGTTTTATTCCGGTTTTTGCTTTGAAACTTCGTTTTTCCATAATAAAATCGAATGGGATGCGAAGAAGGGCTCAGTTGACGGCTGGCATCCTCTTTTAACCGGAAGCCCTTCAAAAAAAAGCAAAATCGGCTCAATAATGATCTAAAACTAAAATCGAAATACGCGGTCGCCTTATAGCGCTATAAGCGCTTGTCGTTTCGAGCCAAAGGTTAGGCCTGACTAAGTGACGTCACCCATGGAGCATGCAGGCCTTGTTTTATCGGTGGTAACGTTCAGGTATTCATGGTCCCGTTCAGACCTGATCGTACATCCTGGGGACCTCTGATTTTGTAACATCGTATGTCCCCAAAACGTCCTGGAAACGTACGCCGTACCTGGAATGGACGTTCTGAGGACGTTTCCAATGTCCGAGGTTTACGGCTTGAGGACTTTTCCGGGACGTTTCCGGGTTATCTGGGAAATAGCGCTGTAAGAAGATAGCGCGTTCTGAAATACCTAGAGCCGTTTCAAACATTCCACAATAGGTTATAATTCGAAATGTTTCTGGCAAGTGATGAAGGATATGCAACATCATAATTATCATTGCTGCAGGATCCAGAACTCGATGCGCATCCTGAAAGACGAGCCCGTGCCCGAGGGCTACTTGCGGTTCCGCTTCAACGAGGACTGCCAGTACCAGCACTGCGGGTACCGCGAACACCAGACGCACTTCCACTGCCAGCGGCCCGACTGCGGCTACAGCTTCTGCGACAAGACGCGCTTCGTGCAGCACACGGCCAGGCACGAAAGGCTCGACACGCTGATGGGCGGCGATTTCCAGCAGTACCGGGCGAACGTGGCGTGCGGCCGGGGCGATTGCGCCTACACGGCCAACTTGGGTGAGTGTGTATACCTACCCATTCGGGTCGATTATGTTCGGATCTTGTCATAACATTGCTAAGATAATAATATTGTTATGATCATAACATATAACAATATTGCTATGAAGTTCTGTATTCTGTTTGCAGAGTAACTGCAAGACTGGTTATGAGTTCAAGTGATAGCAATATTGTTGAAAAATTGAGAATTTTTGAGCTGACAACACTGTTTTCAACTCATTGTTCAAGTGTTAGGTATCGATTTTGCCATTATCTCATGAAGAAGAAGAGTTTATGAGTATCTAACCTCTCAAATTAGTCAGTCCTGCGCTGACATTTTACAAAATTATATTGTTCAAATCGAGAGATTTTGTATTTGCTGAATCTGGTCGTCGTTGATGTGCGACTGGCAAGTAATCAATCATGTCCCCCAAATGAGAAAACAACTAAAAGCCGGATGAAAATAATTGTGATATTTTTTTAATATTCTAGCAAAATAGCTTGATAAACTATCCATCAGGCAACTGAAATTTCTCTGATATGCCGAAATTGTAGTCTCATATTTCCTCTACAAATTGGAACTTCAAGAAGAGGTTTTCAAGTAGTTGGTCACAGTAGTGAACCTATCCTATATGTTTTTCAATAAGTCTTCTACGAATTGAATTTTCGAGGAAAGGTTTTCGAGTAGTCTGTGACACAACTGAACTCTCATATGTTTTTAATCCATTATTTTCTGAATTTTCATGCAGTTGGAAGAATTTGTAGTGCAAAAACAAAGAATCCACTACTTTGTTATAAGATAGTAAGCACAAAATTGATGTTGCCGAGATAGCAAGAAAGCTGACCAGATGTCATTGAAATTGACAGATCATATTGCCAAAAATGGATGATGAGAATTCCACTTTTTCGAATATTGCTATCAGTGCCGGTTTTAGCACCACCAGCGCCCTGGGCAAGAATTCTACGGCGCCCCCTAATAACTAATATATTTCACTTTTCTAGCCTTTGTATTGGCAAATCTCCAAAAAAGTTCAAAAAAAATTCCAATACCTACCTCCTGTCCCTATCCTCCCTAGCAACGCACGATGTTCTCTGAACATTATAGGGATTCCCTTTCGTGCGCTCCAAGCGATAAAAAAAAACTCTTTCATTAGATCAACAAAGTTGTCAAGTTTGTCAATTTAGATTGAGATATTGTCGATCGCAGATAGGTTTTTATCACATTAGGCTCAGGAAAACTGAAAACTAGCAACCATTACAGGTATATAAAGTCAATAATATTCGCAATGCTAATCATACATTTTGATAATGTTCTTTTTAGTTGCGATCTTTCATAAAATTCAAAACATATGCAGGGGTAACCAAATTCTGATTAGGTATACATATACACATATACCTTGTCAAAGGTCGAGTTGTTTCGAAATTTGTTTTATATTGTACAAAAGTACCAAGATTTGTAGTACTCATTCAACTTAAGATATGTCATTAACTGAAATGAATGATGAAATTAAGATATGGTGTAATCACTGATGCGCTTTTGTTTCAGAAATTTGACTCGGCCTCTCGAGAACAGCGAGGGCATTGCGGTTCCGTCGATCTTCTAATAGATGGCGACATTGCACAATTGTGACATCTGTCAGTTTCGAAATTGTCGCAGATTTTTCGAATTCAGAGTTGAATAATCCCATTTGCTATTTTATTTCCACTCGTCACAGCAGCAATAACACCATCACCATCTAGCAGGAAAATGTAAAATCAACGTCTCGCTCGTTGTGACGTAGAGAAATCATAGTAGGCGGTCGAGTGATTTTTCTGAAATTTTCAATACGTAATAATGGCCGAATGCGCGCAGCATATCTTACTTTAATCATTCTGAAATGAATGAAAAATTAAACCTGATTTTTTTCTGTAGAAGCTATTGGCACGTGGCGGGCAGTTTCACCAGCTTGACGCTCAAGATATTGAATTATCCATGTGGCACTAAGCTTAGGTTCAATTTCTAGTTCTTCAGCCAATTCCTCTGCAGTTAAAATAGCGATTTCAGAGTTAGTATATCTATATATTCTTACGAGAAAGTGCAGCATTCTTTCAACATTTCTGTGCATTTACTGAGATCTATATCTGTTGATTGTGAGATGCGCTGATGACGTTGATTTGAAAAATTTGAGGAATTTATAGGGGTTTCTGCGGCGCCCCTTTTCATCCGGCGCCCTGGGCGGTCGCCCAACCGCGCCCTACCCTAACGCCGCTACTGATTGCTATGATAGCAATATCTTATCTACAACCATCATATTGATGCATATATATGGAGCAAAAATCTAGTGAGCTGTAACTATACTGGTCTGCTGTATAGCTCAGTTGAGTGTATGACCACCAGATAATGTTACCGTATCGGACTAAATGATCTTCACTTTTTTCTAGAAAATTTTCGAAATGTGTGGTTATGTAAGTTGTCAGTGTCAAGAGCTGTCGTGCCATCGTGACTTGTATTGCATTTTTTTCTAAAATAATCTTTCTCCTTCAATTCTCGTTGTTCTAATATTATTTCGTTTATAGATATAGTTTTGTGTTGTGCTCCCAGTATTGAAGTAGTTTATTATTCTGATTGATAATTTGTTATAAACTCGTCGTGATACTGAACTCAAAATCATTGAACAAACTGCGCCGCCGGCCGAGACTGCCGAGAGGACCGCTGAGGCAGCTGCTCAAGGTTATGTAGGTTTGACAGGAAAATAATTGAAATAAGTGTTTTCTCGAGTTGATCGTATGGTGGCACTGCTGTATTGGCCACAGAAACCTGTAGGTGATTTTCCTTGTTCGAGCAGACCAGATACTACCGCTCACTAGATTTTTTCTCCATATTCAGCAGACAATGTACCTACCTATATACTATTTTCTACACCGAGAAAACTCGGCCAAGTTAATCGTTATCTTGAAAGAAATGCCATTTTCTCTTACGTTAGGAAAATGAGGTACTTACTTGTAGTAGGCAAAACAATATTTCTGAAAAAATGTGTCTGCTGTAAGTGATCAGGGCACTTGTTGGTATTAACCAAATCGATATGTATAAGTGAACACTGAACTAGTGCTAGGTAATGAATATTCACCATTATTAAATTATTATTCTGAGACAAAATCAGTTGCTCTGAGCGCACTCATCGATGAAGACAATCTATCAAGTCGATTGGTGCAAGTGACAGCTCACCTGTGGTTCCCAGGCAACCAGATGACGAATGATCACGTCACTGTGACGTCCATAATTGGTGATATTTCGTCAAAGACGTCACACACCAATTCATGACTTCTCTATGACGTGATAATCGTGTCACATCTCGACGTTGAGTGAACGCCACTTAGAAGGGTAAAATAAGACGTCAGTTTCATGACGTTGCAGGGACGTCCTGTCGACGTCCATGTTTCCCAGACCATATCTAAATCTTCTTTATTTGCACTATCATGTGAAACCGTTAGGTTTGTGACGTACCTATATATACAGGATGGACATATTCAATGTCGATAAGTTTAAAAAAAACAACGTTTTTTCATCAGTTTTACACATATATAGAAAAATGTACGTCTTGGTAATTTTATATATATGCTTCTAACGTCGATAGAAGTATAACTCATTAATACAAATCAACATGTTAGTTTCATTGGAATTATATATATATACCCAAAAAATAAGAGAAAGCTTTTCTAAACTTCGACAACCTGTATATCTCGGAAACCAATCAAGCTATATATATATATATATACAAATGATAATATAGGTGTAACTATATTGAAACCGTCACTTTTATGACGTTGCAGTGACGTATCTATGACGTCTATAAATCACGTCAGTGTGACGTACCAATTTGGTAAGCTTCGTCATTCAAAATTTTTTTTCAATAATTTGTTATTAAGATTTTTGTTGGGTGACAAATGATGCATGAATCTACGTTACTCAACAAAGTGGAGCTAAATTCGCCAAAATCCTTTTCATTGCTATCGAACTATTCTTGGTTTGCTTACTATCGAAATATTCTTGGTTTGCTTACATCTCGCCGACACAAACTATATAATTTTTTATACAAATACGAGTGACTGATTCCAATCTAATGGAGATGCGTCTGAGGTATAGCGCTGCTGAATAGGCGATTGTATGGACATGACACCGAAGGGACCACCAAGCAGACTCAACAATGCATAATGAATATCAGAAGTCTGTGGTGATTATCACATGTTCAAGGAAAGTTTTTTACGTGTCATCACCAAATTTCAACGTCATTTTGAGGTCATTTCGACGTCAGTCCGACGTCACAGTTTGGTGAGTGAATGACGTCAATAAACGTGAGTAATATGAAGTCATTGGGCTGTGACTTATTCACGTCATAATCACGTCATCGTGGTTGAGTGGAAGAATAGCTATATGCTAAACTCCGCCACGTAAAATAAAGACCATTTATTATCATTATTTATAGACGACGTCAACTTCTGACGTCGCCGTGGTCATTCAACTGACGTAAAAAGACGTCACTGAAACGTCATCTGGTTACCTGGACTACGGGAATGAAGTTCGAGTAGGAAATTAGCATTCCGTACACTATAATTTTTCTACGGTTATAATAGATAACAGCGGCATTTTCGATTTCTTCGTCTTGTAGCCATCTTATTTCCTGTCAAGTAATGCTCTTCTATTAGACAGAGCTGTCATTGCTTCACATTTGACAGTTCATGGGCGATGAACATTTTTTGAAATAATAACACAATGGAGTCATTGTGATATCAGATACGGAAATAAAATTGATGACATACAAAAGTACCTCGACCCCAAGAAATTGATGATACTGCTTCTGCATCGATTCTTTACTTGCTACCAGTGAAATCCAAGAATCTGTATGACGCAGCTTATCATATGCACATTATCTCCCTAGGAAATAATACGTCACTTCTGCCCCTATCTTGTTACCATCAGAGAAAATAACTTCCACTCTTGCCGGCGTAAATATAAATGTACATATTTTTTCCAGGATCCACCCAGAACAAGGCCTCTCACTTCCACTGCCTCAAGTGCGACTTCGTGTGCACCGACACTAACAAAGTGGTGGCGCATCGCAGGCAACACCAGAAGCTGGACTCGATCCAAGCGGCCGGCTTCGAGAAGTTCACGCCCAGCCAGATATGCAGAGTGCCCAGCTGCCAGCACAGCGGGAAACAAACGCACTACCATTGCCTCCAGTGTCAGTACGCCGTCTTGGGACTTGCGCAAATGTCCGCTCATAAGTACAGACATATGGAGTGAGGTTATGTTACGGTTTAATTGGTTGATAGGTGCTGCGGTGAAAAGGGAACGACGAGTTATAAATTCGATTTCATTTGGCAAAGTTCTTTGAAGTCATTTTCGATGTTAGCGGATGTTAAATCAATTTGTGATTCTCTGGAAAATGCGTTTACAAAAAAAATGGCGAGCAAGTCACCTCCAAGCAACATTTCAGGTTATGTGTAGGTTGGTTCTGACCATGACCAGGGCTGTTCCAGTCAGTACTTTAGTACTGGATTTAGTACTATTCGAAGATGTTCAGTACCAAAGTACTTTTTGGTGAAATCTAATACTATATGAGTTTTGAGATCCTTGGTTTCACATTGTTAACCAAGTGGATGTTCCAACAAAGAATACTTCAACCTTATTAACGTCCAGTTAATAAGTCATAGTATTAAATGCAAGTGTAACATTGCCTCTAATTTACCAAAGCAATGCCAACGCTTCCCAGTAGGTTTCAACGATGTTTTCTTATTTGCAATTTCATTTCTGATGAAAGAAGTTGGTTGAAATGACTCAAATTTTCATTCAGTGATACTTTTTGATATGCAGAATGGACGTAATCTCTGTTTTTCAAATAGAATGCCATTTATATCAACAGGTAGATTAGACATGTCCATGATGTGAATATTTCAAATCTTTTGATGAAGCAGTTTACTATCCTAAACGAAAGAAAAGAAAGTTACAAAAGGTATGCAAATCTCTTTCTAACATATTCTAATAATTCTAATGCTCCTATCATGACATCGAAATATAGAAAAGTCTCAGATTATATTCCCGTTTTATTAGCATTAGATTAGTATTTTAGAAACAAATATCGGACCTCCCTATACTCTGACATGATTATATACATATATGTAGGTAGTATTGTCAGAAAGAGATGTCTAACCATAGTATAACCCTCTCAGAACTTTCTTATCCCTCGTTTAGGAATCGGTAAAGATATTTTATCGACCTAAAAGAGGTTTTCCATCACAAAATCCTGGTATATCAAGGAACGTCACAAAATGGGAATTTTATTCTTTTTCTCCAACTTCTTTTAGAAACATGTTTTCACGCGTCTAAGAACAAAAGAGTTGCGTGGATATATAGGTTATAGATTTCATTTCAAGAGGCGCATCTTGTACCCATTAAATTTTACTTGGATCTAAAGGAACCTTATTCTTGTTAGTGGCACTTTAGACTGGAAAGTAGCTATATTTTACTACTTTATCAGTAAAAGTAACACTGGCATAATATGCAAGAACTCACAATGCTGTTCTGTTGTGTTTGTTCTGGTTATGAGTGATGAGTTGATGACTTGTTCAATATCCTCAAAAAAAAATCTGTGAGGCAGATTCTGTGGATCCCGATTATCTATAAATATTGTAAATATGTACAGAAAACGTAATCTACTTTGTAAATTACTTGTAAATAGATCTAATTATTTAAATACCTCATGATACATTGAGGAAAAATTTTAGAGTATAGCAGTTGATTTGAAAAAAAAAATCAGTTGAGTACTTTGTACTAAGTAAAAACCCAGCTGAATCTCAACTGAGAGTTGTAAAAATAAATGCTAGGTATCTGATACGACTGTTGCAAATCAGAGCAGTTTTAGCAAGAAATTTGTTTCAAAAAAGTGAGACGCAATAATATCAGTGATATAATTATGATACTAAACAACTTACAAAAATGTGTAGATTTTTCATTTACGAGTAGGGGAACAAATTCTAATTCAAAAAGACATGGTATTTTAGTTTCTAGAGTAGTTTTTACTAGAAATAGAGGCCTTTTCTCAATAGATTTAGTGCCTTAGAAAAGACATATAACATTTCGTGCCTTTTTGGGTACTTTTTTGGTAGAGAAACATTTAGTAGATGATTTATCAGGTTTCAAAAAGAAATATGTCATTCCATATACCAATTGTGCCATATTACGGTTAAAAATATACAAATAATAGCAGTTTTTCAGAATGTTTTAGAGTAGAATATATAGATAGAGATTATATGAAGTGTCATATCTTGAAAAAATCATTTTCCGTTTATTTATCCCATTTTTCTTCACTAATTATTTATTTGCACCCTTATGTACATGTCATTGTGAATTGTTTTGCCATATTTTTGAAATAGTTTTAGACTGTTTGTTCTACATCTTTTTTTCATTTTTATTGTTCATAGCTAGTCTTTTCTTCTGCTTTTTTATTACTTTTTTCTGTTTGATTTTACTTTTAAACATAGTCATATAAAATTCACAATCATAAAAATGATTTTAAACCGACTCCCAAGTCAATTTTTTATTACATTTATTTAAGGTAAACCTATAGAGTTGTATGTATGATTATTTTATGTACGAGTGTATTTTATGTTAATTCTCTGTGATTGTAAGATTTTAAAAAAATATCAGTATTTATATCATAATTTACTATTTTTATTACTCCTACATATATACCTCTATCTCATTTTCCTTTGAGATATTTAAAAGCAATCACAATTTTTGCTACTTATACAGGGTGTTCGGAAAGGTCATGCCGTACATGATTGGGCTGATAGTGAGCCAAAATAATGTTACTACTTTATTTAAAAAAAAAAATGTATATCGCACTTCCTTACCGAGTTATTGACCTTGAGAGTTTCTGCGAGTCCTTACATATGCATACTCATCATTACTAAACTCATCCATGATGTTATGAAAGTATTAAATACTCTCAAAATGATTAGTTGTCAATTATGATAATGATACTGCCGCCACCATGATGTGATTGAATAAATAAAGTTTCATTATGTTTGAAACGATTTTTTCTAGGACGGTACAATATAATATCGATTATATGATAAAGTATACTATTTTTGCAGAAAAAAGATGAAAGAATCAAACGGTGGAAGTGAAATGTCAAATTTGTCATCTCTGTCAAAAATAATGCCTTCATTACAAGCGGAAAAAAATCGTTCCATCCCATTTCCGTCCTGTATGAAAAATGCACTTAACAGGAGCATTACTGACTCTATTTAGTTGCCACAATATCATTGATATCATGGCAACAGTTTGAAAGTTATTCATGGAATTCAATATCAATAACTCCATAACGAAGTAATATACGTATTAATAATCAATACGGATAATCTCTATCTGTTTCCATAGCGAAACATGAAGCCGATTTTTGAAGACAAATGACTATCCATAAGGAAAAGTTTTGAAACGATCAGACACATACTGCTTTGATTGAAAGGCTAGTAAACGTCATTGTCCACCGAAACGCATGTCTTTGATGACTACTATAATAGCACATGGCGCATGCGTATCATGCCACCAAATCCTTATGGATATTCATTTGTTTCATATTTTTGGCTTCATCCTGGCACCCGTTATGATCCGTATTGTTTATTAATACGTATATGAACGAAGTGCGATAGACATTATATGAAGAACTGACATTATTTTGGCTCACTCTATACTATCAGCCCTATCATTTACGACAGGACCTTTCCGTACACCCTGTATATGAATTATAGATGTGATTCGATCTTGATGAAAATATCATTGACAGTTTTATCATAGCTAACGAATACTTCTTTGAAATCTTTAATATTTGTGGAACATTATTTCAGAAAAGTTGAGAATGAAAAATATCCTATAAAATCTATATAGAGACTAATTATCAGAGATTCTATGAATGGTGAATCAATTGTTATTAAGAAAAGCTCAAATGGGGAAAGGAACGATCTGAACGATGTAGAGCCGGCGAAAAGTGCAAAAGTGTATAAGTAGGTTGCTATGAAATGAGATGTTATGAATACTCCCAAATAGATGAGTTACGAAAAAACCAAAGGGGTGCACATGGTGTACAATTTGCAAAAACAAGGATAGGTTTTTTCGGTACAAATGAATTGTCCATTATTGTTTCCTTGAAAACGGTTAATTTTATAGACAATAAACAACAAGAGTAAGTACTTGATTTTTTTGGTATACTGTGAGATCTGATGAAACGGGAATCTGTATTTTTTGTGTAGAGGGGAAGGCCAATAAAGAACTCAGATTGATCTACACAACTTGTACCTATTCAAAGTGGAATCATCAGACAACAGAAAAAAATAATGAGGCTATCTTCCATCAATCTTGAATACACGGTTCTTAAACTTTCCGCGATTTAGCTGACGCTTCTTTGGCTGATTCTTCAAACTAGGGTGAGAGAAAACTTGAAATCAAACACTTTCTGAATTTTTAAATTATGCTGTGCCAAAGATAAGGAGGGCCAGTATGGTCATCTCGGAAACTCCGAGATACAGATTTGGTCAAATGGCAGAAAAGTTGCGCGACTGAAGGACCAACGAAATTACTTCCAATAATCTCTGATGACTTTTCGTTTTTGAATTATTTTCAAAAAACTAAATCTTTGCATGGATTTTCAATTTTATTGTTTTTGCGTTAATAATGAAGTTATGACAAAACTGAAAAAACATCTTCATATGGCAACTATTGATGCTTTTCAATTTGACATCATCGATTTTCAGCTCCAACGTTTTGTATCGAACCCATAGATTGAGGGGGAGTCATTAATCTATGATCAAACTAACTATACAACATTTTATTAGTGGCGGCTCCTCAGAGGAGGCAACGGAGGCTGAGCCTCCTCAGAGATTTTCCTCAAACTAATATTATTTATACTTTCTCATTAAAAGGACACCAAAATACATATGGATTTTGAATTTATTAGATTGGATTAGATATATTTATTGCTCAAAAGAATACACAATTCTTATAACCTTAATATTTTGAATTTATTTCCTGTTTTTAGTTAAGTATTTTCGAATTGGCAACAGTGCTTGTCCACGCATCACACGTTGAGGTCTGCAAATCACGCGTAAAATATTCAACTTGGCACCATCTATAGGAGGCTAGACTCCTTCACATTGCGCAACCTACGCGCTCAATGCGAATGCCCGAATACGCCCGAATAGCACGTGTTTATCGTGTCGCTTTGCGAATTGCATACACGCCCGAATAGCACGTGTTTATCGTGTCGCTTTGCGAATTGCGGACAAACGCGAGTGCGTTGTTTATGTTTATGTTAGGTTAATGGTTAGGGGCTCTATAAATTTCTGAAAAAATGAGTGTTTCAAACGATTGCGATTTAGTGGAATACTTTTTGGTGAACTCATTCAGTGCTTTGTCTTATGAAGATGAATTGATTGTGAAAAACAAACGTCCGACACCGGAATTAAAAAATCTGATTTTAACAGGTAACAAACAAAATCGTTCCTTCAATTCTGATAATTATAAAAAATATATCTGGTTGACGGGATCTGGGGTAAGGAATAAGCTATTTTGTTGGTACTGCGTATTATTTTCAACCGATAAGTCATCATGTTGGGGGCGATTAGGATATATAATGATTTGAAAAATTTGCCTTGCGGATTTGATAGACACTGCAAATCACAGGAACACATCTCTTCGAGTATTAAGTTCAGCTTAACTGGTAAACAGAATGTCATTAAAGCTATCGATTTGGGTGAGTAGAGAGTTGTTTTTCACAATAAATCTCATATCATTCAGCCTCCTCTGTCATGAATGTCACGAGCCGCCACTGCGATTTTATACAGTGTGACCCATTTAGGATGGAAGCACCCTTATAAAACTTACATTTTTCAACGGATTGGAATGATTTTTTTTTGTTAGGTAGATATTCAAAAAGTCTATTAGGACACCAAATATCATGAATAAATCTCCATTTCCAGGGCCAACTAATCTGATTTTTCAAGGTCAAAAATCTAAAAAAATTACTAGCGGTTTTTTTAGAAAAAATCTGACTACACCACTGGATTTGTGACATTTTCAAATGGGTAACATGTAAATTACGTTGAAATGCGTCAATCAATAAAAAAGTTATAAAGGAATGAAATTTGAAAAATATGCCGTTTAATCAACCCATCAATTTTTATTACTGAACAGATTTCGATGAAACTGTGATCAGTAATATTTCAAGACATCCTGAATCCAGTGGAGTATACAGAATTTTCATAAAATTCCTGAACATGAATTGGTGGGTTGATTAACCTCTTAAGGCCCATGGTTCCATATATGGAACATATAAAATATCAATTTATTAAATCAACCATTTACTTTAGTTCGTGATTATTTCATGATGACCCGTTGTTCTGAATAGGGAACAAATGAGAAATATACAAACCTTGTTGTTTTCGCCATCTGTTGTCATTTTGTGAAAGTTTGAAATCCGCCATGTTTGTGAACAGCTGTGAATTTTAGATTTGTAACAGTTCGTGCTGATTTTGTATATTCTTGGTGAGTATTATATCAAAATAAAATAATTAGGCTTATCGTTAGTATAACTAGATGACCTTGTGATAGTAGAACTGCATTTTTCTGAAAAACGCTGTAATTTATCGTCACTTTTGCATTTGTTCCATGTGTGGGACATTGGTCATTGTCGTTAATTTTCCATTTGTTCCAAGGCTGGAACATTGAGCATTGTTAGACATATTATTATTGAATATAACTTTATTTTTGTAGAAAAACCCGACTATGGCTGATTTTCCAAGTGGAAGCGAAGATGATAATCTAAGTGATTCTGATTATGATCCTGAATGTGACGAGAAAGCTACTGCGCTGTCAGATTCATCATCTGCAACTGATATGGAAGACTCGAGTGATGATGATGTCCCTTTGGCTCGTTTTTTACCTGCTGTCAGAAACAGGTTAGGAAAATCAAAACCCAAATGGACCAGAGTCGAACAGAACGATGACCCTTCACATGTTCCAAATTTTGCTCCATATTCACAGAACGAAGAACCCGAAATAGGTAGACCTATCCATTATTTCCAAAATTACTTTTCAAATGACTTGCTGGATCATATAGTGGATCAAAGCAATCTCTATTCAGTACAAAATGACCCCAACAAACCTCTGCAGCTAACAAGAGAAGAATTGGAAGTATTCATAGGAACTATAGTTTACATGTCTATTTTTGGACTGCCACGGCATAGATTGTACTGGACTTCATCATGTAGAGTTTCGAAAGTTGCTGATATGTTATCAAGAAATAGATGGGAAGACATAAAAAAAAACTTGCATTTCAATGACAATACAAATCTTCCCCTGAACAGAAACGATCCTGATCGGGATAAATTATTCAAAATCAGACCTATAATCACTCATATGAAACAAAAATTCATTGACCACGTCAAACCCCAAATGCTGTGTGTTGACGAACAAATCGTACCATATAAAGGAAAATCTGCATTGAAGCAATATAATCCTAAAAAACCTAACAAGTGGGGATACAAGATATTCGTATTATGTGACAGCAATGGAGTTACCCATGATTTCGAAATATATACTGGCAAAATCCTTCCAGTACCAGGGAGAGAGGATATTGGAGCTAGTGGTAATATCGTCCTTCATC